CACCACCACAGCCAGCTAGTTTTTGTATTTTTAGTAGAGATGGGCTTTCACCATGTTGGCCAGACTGGTCTCGAACTCCTGACCTTAAGTGATCCGTTCGCCTCAGCCTCCCAAAGTGTTGGATTACAGACGTGAGCCACCGTGCTGGGCCCCTGTGTATTAACTTATTGGGGTTTACTTACCAAAACATATCTCAGATTCTTCCATCCTTTTCTATTAACTGTTTTAACATTGGAAAGTAAAGAGAAGTAATAAAAAAAAAAAAAAATAGCCGTGGTTGTGACATCCAGCACTCTGGAGTCCCCTTTCAGCTCCACGGAGCTGTGCAACTGTGACCAAGTCACTTGACCTCTCTGTTTCCTGGTGTGAAGGAAGCCGGCCTGCTTGCCAGACTTGGTCGACCACAGCTGGAGAGGGTCTTTAGGTTCAGACACGCGTGGTCCCCACCCCACCGCGCCCCTCTGAGCGGAGCCCGCCTCCCTTGCAGCGCTACCCACTGGCTGACGCCCCCCGCCTCCCGCCCACACCCCCGCCGGCCGCGCCCGCTGACTCGAGCCTACTGGCACAACCACCGCAGCCAGCTGCTCTGCCTGGCCGCCTACGCAGGCCTCCACGTGCTGCTCTATGCACTGGCGGCAAGCGCGCACTGGGACCTCGGCACCAGCGTCATTGTGGCCAAGGGCTGCGGCCAGTGCCTCAACTTCGACTGCAGCGTCATCGCGGTAGACTGTGCCAGCACAGGCGGGGAAGCAAGCAGGGGCTCCAAGGGGGGCTCCTCCTAGGCAGAGCGACACACAGAGGACACCTGAAATGCCAGGGCAGGGTGGCACCTTAGAAATCAGCTGGGCCAACGCCCAGAGGTGGTGGATGCCACCCAGAGAGGGACAGCAGCTTGTTCACAGGCACACAGCCAGTAGGTAATAACATAACTGGCATTTTTGTGCACTATGCATCAGGCACGTGCTGAGTAGGCTCCATTTGATCTTCACAACTCCCCTCTGGTGGAGTCCTGTGCAGGTCCACCTTCAAGAGGAAACCCTACAAGAGGCCTTGAATACCAGATCATGGAGTTGGCATGTGGTTCTCTGACTTGCAGATGAGGTCTCTAAGAGGTGGTTTTTAACCCAGATACAATGGATCTCAGGATCTCAGCTCATTGCAACCTCTGCCTCCTGGGTTCAAGCAATTCTCCTGCCTCAGCCTCCTGAGTACTGGGATTATAGGCGACCACCACCACACAGCTAATTTTTATATATTTAGTAGAGATGGGGTTTCATTATATTGGCCAGGCTGGTCTTGAACTCCTGACCTCATGATCTGCCCACCTTGGCCTCCCAAAGTGCTGGGCTTACAAGCATGAGCAACTCCACTTGGCCTCTAAGAGTTTTTAATCACACAACTACTCCCATTAAAACAAAGGCCCTTTTGTGATTATCTCCATGCCCTATTATCATTAGCTAATAGACTTAAAGGCACAAAGTAACTAACTAAAGGGGAAGATTCATCATTGACGAGCAGGAATGCCCACCTCTAGGTCAGATATGCTTCTAGATATCAGCTTCTTGTTAAAGTGGGTTTTGTGAGTTTTGTTTTACATTTATTTTTATTATTTTTAATTGTTAATTTTAATTTTTGTGGGCACATAGTAGGTGTATATATTTATGGGCTACATGGGATGTTTTGATACATACAATGTGTAATAATCACATCTTGTGAATTGGGGTACCCATTCCTAGAGTGGGATTTGCATTAACAGTGTAACCAGCTGACAAAGAGTTCATTCCAGGGGTGGGAGGCGTGTGACTTATTTTCTTGGTCACTTGCTCTTGCATTATCAACACAACTGTCAATCTGTGGTTTCTCTGCCGGGAAACTTATAAAGCTACTTGTCCTTCCTGTGAGGGGTAGTTAGCTGAGTTTCGGTAACGCCAAATACCGGAACCTGCAAGTCCACATCCTTGGCACGCATAACTATACTGAAGGCAAATGAGCAATGAGAGGACCCTGGTCAACACTCTGCATTTAGGAAAGTCTGCTCCTCCTCCAAGGCACCTCGAGAACTAATGTGGCACACACCCATCTGACATAGGGACCAAATGAGGGCACCAAGTCCACAGAGATATTTTATTTATTTAATTTATTCTATCTATCTATCTATCTATCTATCTATCTGTCTATTTGAGACAGGGTCTCTGTCTTTCACCCAGGCTGGAGTGCATAGCTCACTGTAACCTCAAACGCGTGGGCTCAAGCAATCCTGGGCTCAAGCAATCCTGGACTCAAGCAATCCTGGGCTCAAGCAATCCTGGGCTCAAGCATTCCTCCTGCCTCAGCCTCCTAAGTAGCTAGGACTACAGGAGCATACCGCCATGTCCAGCTAATTAAAAAAATTTTTTTTCTATAGAAACAAGGGTCTTGCTGTGTTGCCCAGGCTGGTCTCAAACTCCTAGGCTCCAGTGATCCTCCTGTCTCAGCCTTCCAAAGTGCTGGGATTACTGGAGTGAGCCACTGTGCCTGGCCTGTATATTAAATATTAGTAAAAGTATAGGTGTTTCTCATGTGTTTAGATAAAAATTAATACAAATAGACATTCTGTAACTTTCTCTTCCCACCCCAATTCTGGAAACTCTCCTCTGGAGACCCCAGCTGTGAACCAGGGAAGCAGCAGGCATGGGGGCAGGGGAGTTTGGTGCGTGTCCTGTTCAGAAAGCACAGCTAGCTCAGGAGGCTGCAGGAGTTGGCTGGGAAAAGCGGACAAGGCAGACAGAGAGTGAGGTGGGGCTCTCTGCCACTCTGCCTGGCCAGGTGCTGATGCTCAGACGCTGCCTCGCCTGGCTGCGGGCCACGTGGCTGGCTCAAGTCCTACCACTGGACCAGAACATCCAGTTCCACCAGCTCATGGGCTACGTGGTGGTGGGGCTATCTCTTCTGCACACTGTGGCTCACATTGTGAATTTTGGTGAGTGATCCGGGGCAGAGTTGGGTTGGGGAGAACCTGGAGCAGCTCCAAGCCCAGAATACAGGGCCCAGGCACCCTGAGTGCCCTGCCTGCTCAAAGGTGAGAGAAGGGGTGCCCTGGATAAACCAATGCTCTGGACAAATTTTCTGCCTGTGCTAGTATCTGATAGTACAGGGTGGGGATCCCAAGGGAAGGTGGAGTGGGAAAAGCTGGTCTTGCAGTCATTCAGATTTCTGGGCTTGTTTCCAGCACTCCAGGCTCAGGCAGAGGCCAGCCCTTTCCAGCTCTGGGAGCTGCTGCTCACCAGGAGGCCTTGAATTGGCTGGGTGCACGGCTCAGCCTCCCTGACAGGTGTCGCTCTGCTGTTGCTGCTCCTCCTCATGTTCACCTGCTCCAGCTCGGGCATCCGCAGGAGTGGCCACTTTGAGGTGCTCCAGTCCCTGCCCTTTTGCTTCCCCCAAGGCCAGGGTTCTATCTTCATTTCTTTCTGTGTCCCTTCTACTTTACTCCAGAGCCCAGGAAAGTCCCAAGCTGGTCTGCGTGTTATCTGCATGTGATTTAGGGCCTGCTGCTGGGTTCTGCCACTGGACTGTAGTTTGTGTCTGCCAAGTGTAGACGTTTTGCTCTGGGAGTGTCTGCCTTTCTGCTGGCTTATCTCTTTAACCTATTTGGGTTAAGTTGGACTTAAAACAGCACAGGGAGGGGAAGAAACACAGGCTCGGCAGGTTTTGAATCCCCACTCCCCTGCTTACTGGTCACTCCACCTTTCCAAGCCTCAGTTTTCTCATCTGTAAAATGGAGGTGTAATTCTCAATGTTATTTTAGGAATTATTGGCGATAATTCATGTAAAACCACTAACTACATACCTAGCATGTAGGTGCTCTGAAAATGTCAGTTCCATCTTTGCTTCCATCTCTCCAGCTTCCTCAAGATGCAGAAAGTCACAGACGATTTGGTTTGGAGACCTTGACAGTCTCCTGGCCTAGGCACATCAGAAATAGACATATATGAATACCTACTGTGGGCCAGCAACAAGCCTTAGAAGTAGGAATCAGAAGCCTCATTTGACCGATGAGGAATCTGACATGCAGAAAACTAATAAAATTGGCTAAGAGTCCATAGCTTTAGAAGGTGCCAAAATCGTCTTCCACTATTTCTTCTCCACTCCCAGGAAGCCATTGCTGCCTTTTCTTCCTTCCTTCTGAGAATGGATCAGGGGATCGGGATATTGATGCTCATAATCCCTGTGGGGGCAGTCCACTCTGCCCAGAACCTCCCAGGCAGATATTTCAGATGTTTGCCTCTGGGATCAGAAATCTTCCCTCAAAGGCTCCCTTGGCCAAGCCCTCGGAAAAAGAATCTTCCCAACCCCAACCTCTCACCCAA